CCCCCCCTCCCCCTTCCCCTTCCCCTTTGCCCTTTTCCCACACGTATGTGTGTTTTTGGAAAATGGAAATGAAAAGAGATAGCTCAGCCTGCTGTCGCCCTGGGCGATCCTTCGTGGAAAAGGCAGAAAAAAAAAGAAAGGAAGGGAAAACCAGGAGGAAAACGGGAAGTGCAAAGTGAAAGTTGAGCGAAAGTTTTTCAATTTGTTTATGCATCCAACGCACAGATGAGTGAATTATTGCATTAGAATTATGACTCGGATTCGTCCTGAAGTCCAGTTTCAAATCCATCAAAACAAAAGCGTTTTAGTTGGCCAAACAGCATTTGAAATATTAATGCAGCTGTTTTTCTTCTCTTCTTCGGCTTAAATGTGGCCTTAGCATTAAATTCTGACTTTGAAATGCATTAAGATTAAAGCAATGTTAAAAAGAAGACTGCTTTCGAAAGTAAATAAGAACATAAATGTATGTATGGCATTCAGATGGCCAACTTTGGTTGCCTTATCTTTATTTTGTGTTTTAATTTACCCAAGCTCACCTTTCTTTAAAAAACCTGCTCTCCCATTCGCTTGCCCATAAATTTTGATGAATGTTTTTCCACCTTTTGCCCGACGCCAAAAAATGTATTAAATAATATTGATGTTGATGGCAAATAAATAATTAATTTATTACGCGCGGCGGCTTTATTGACAAAGAAAACAGGAAGAGCGAATTGCAAATATAATGCCATATAGTCGCTTGTTCCCTGGATGTGTGCGGATATATTCGCATTATTTTGTTGGGCTTTCAAAATTATGAAATGACAGGCGGGCGATGATATTTCATTTACTTTGTGCTGCCCGCTGCGGAAATGAGAAATGTGAAAGGGAAACAGCGGGCGGTGGAAAATGTGAATGGGGAGGGGAAAATGTGAATGGGGGAGGAGGGGGGGTTGGAAAATCGGATGGGGCTGCTGTTTGTTGGCGTTCTTGTTTCGTCATCGTCATCGTCATCGGCCACTGACAATGATGGAGGAAGATTGATGCCTTTTCCTCGTCCCAAATATCCACTACACACACATGTGTGTCTAAAAGTGAACTCCAAATAATACACAGAGAAAAATGGTGTCAATATCAGGGGCATATTGCCAAATCCATTGGACTTATTCAAAAACATTCTCAACTCTATCTATATTTTGAAAGTCATCCATAATCTCATTTGGAATTTAGATTTGTGATTCTTTATGGGCAGTGTTTATGAACCGAAGTTTTGTACTCTTGATAGTAAAAACAATTCGATTCAGAAGTTCTCCCTGTGTATGCATTAAATTTGCCAAAGTTTTGCCAATTACCCAGTGTCATTTGAGTTGAGCAAATTGTTGCACAGTCCGCTGCTTCGATTCCGTACCACCTTCTATTTTTTGTAGCGCCACCACATGATGGATCATCCGGAATGGAAAACAGTTGGGATATCAATATAGAAGGAGATAATTAACCATGTTTGCCACGCTTTTTTTCTTCACACACACGAATATTCCTAATGAAAATATAATAAAACACAGATTTTCAAAGACACATCAGCTGGCTTATTTTCCAAGTTTGAATTTGTTCAATCAATAATATGTGTCAAAAGCCTGATTTCTTTCTTTGGTCAACCCAAAATCATATTCTAAAATAAATAAGCAGGAAACAAATAAGCTCTTAAGATAATTTTAACCTTTATTTTTATAATTTTATACTAATTTTTTTAACCAGTAAGAACAAATTAGTCATTCAATTAATTGCATATATATATTTTAGCTTGCCAAACATATTACATAATTACTTTTTGTGTGGTTTCGAAAAGTTATATTGATCTGGCCGCAAATTAACCACACATTTTACTACTTTTGAATATTTCACTTGACTTCTACAGAGTGCATATGATGTTAATTAACTAAACATTTGCCTTTTAATTAATAAATTGAGTTGATACATCCATTGCAGTATATGAAATAGTATAAGCAAAAAAAAAAACATGCAGTAAGGGGATCCTTTTGACTGCTCTTCAACGCACTGAGCATGTTGTTTAATTATTTAACCTGTTTTCCCCACTGACAGACGCTTAACAACTCAAATGGAAGAACTGTAAATGTGGGTCCAATTCTCTGGGCAAATTTGCGCAAATGTGCGCTTGTATTGCCTCACTCACACACACACACACACACACATACAGTCGTGACAAGAAAATGCAATTATGTGGCAAAATAAAACAATCAGTGGCAATCGCTTTGGGAAGCCCCTGGCCACAATGGTCCGGTGCGAAATCGAGTCCAGCTCTGGATGTACGAAGTCCGAAGTCCTGAGTTCACAGAGCCCGCTCCGAATGTCCTGCGGCCACATTTTGGCTGCTCGCAAAATATTAAACTCTTCAATGGCAACGGAATCAATAATTAAAAGGCATTGCACGGGGGAATAGTGCAAAAGGTAACAGCTGCGGTTTCTGATGTTTCTGCTGCTTCTGCTGCTTTCATATCGCGCATACGCAACGTGGGCTCAGCTCGCATTCACATTCACATTCACCTTTTGTCGCCATTTACAGGTGCACGAAAGTTATTAATGGTTTTCGGCGGCTTACGCAATTTGCGCCGTTATTAAAGTTGCACACTGCATTTGTGGGCGGTTGAGCCGTGTGGCAAGGACACGGCAGCAACATAATGCGAATGTGCAGCATCTGTTTGTCTGTGTGTCTGTGTGTCTGCTGGGCGGGCTTAACTTTTCCATTGGCAAACGAGCCGCACGGCCAAGGACTCCCACACACACACACACAGCTGGCATAAACAACGTGGGAGCGGAAGAAGTGGTCAGCACGGACATGTCCTTAATGAGAAATTCTCGTTCCAATCAGGCGTGGATTCGAAAACAAAGCAATTCCCAGCAAAGAAACAGAAGTAAATAAACAACTACAAGGGATTCCACAGCAATCCCTGGTGCGATTCGAAATCACTCAAATAGAAACCACTGATGCGTTATGAAATATCCTCAAAAGTCAGAAAGTATGCCGTAAATTATTAAATATATATTGACGTTTTGTAATTGAAACACATTATTTGAACAACTGTCGGTTAATCAATTATAATAAGTAACATTACTACTGAAACCAAATCTATTTTCGTTCATTTATTTTTACTAATTGAAAAACTACACAAAATTATTTATAAGCGACCAAATATACTAAGATAAACAATTATAATTAATATAATTACTAAGCGAAGAATATCCATTTTCTTTCATTTAATTTTACTAATTGACTAGCTAAAATCAAGAAACTAAAAAAAATTTACTAGAAAATCCACTTTGCAATACCCTTTTAACTGTTTTTATAAATTCTCTTTAAATTGTAAAATGCATATTTATTGACACACTTAAAGATAGTTATTCAAATTAACTAAAAACACAATTAATTTAATCTCACTTTATTTTCATTTAAATGGCTGCAGATTACATATAACCCTTAAAGATAGACAGAGATACTCTAAAACTTACTTTCCTTATGATTAATCCGATTTTATTTTTAATTCTTCCTTATAAACACATAATTACAAATAATGAAATTATCATTGTTTATAGAATTTAAGCATTTGTATTTTTCTTTGTATATAAATTATTAGTTTTGTATTTATAAATACAGCAATATAATTTCAAAATTCAATTGATCAATGCTGATTTGATTTCTGGTTGAATTTTTGGATGTGATTGCGGAATGCGACCTCTAGGCAATCGGCATTTTTGCGTTTGCCGGGCCAAAACCAACTGCTCATAACTTTGGCATTCCCCGATTGAATCGAACATCAGGCTCACACAATAAATCGGATTTGGCCTTGTCTGTGTTAACGCACTATTCACTCACTCTCACTACATAATTCCCCTATTCTCGGACATGCCAGGGATTTCCATACTACCGTATTCAACAGGGTGCTTAAGTTCAGTTTAGTTAAGGCTGCAGTGAAAAGTGTGTTTTGGCATTGAAAAGGGCTTATGATATTTCAGGCGAAAGAAGGCTTAAACCAGTCGGTCCATACACTATACACCACTGTTCCACTGTTGTTCAGAGTTTTCGGGGCTAATTGGGGCGGACAATCACATTAAGTGAGTAATTAGTTAAGTAAATCAATTAAGCAAAATAAATGGGTTACTTAGGCTTACATCTTGGCAGTTGATTGAGTAACTATAATCCGAATTAAAGTCAATATTAGGTGGCAAAAATAAGTGTTTCAGCAGGGCAGAAAGTATCTTAAAGACACATTTTATATTTTAACTGAGTTTCACGAGAGCCAGGACACACACATCACCAAAATATGCAAACTCATGTCATAATTGAATTTTCATTCGGGGCTTCATTTTGCCCCAGAGAGCCCGAAGCCGAAGGGCCCAAGCTGAATAATTAAAATAAAATGCAAAATAAAAAACTAATTTTGTCGCCCAAAATGAGGCTGAACAATGAGTCGCTGAGATTGAGATTGAGTCTGATGGCTTACGACTAAGCTGCCAGAGTTTGCATTATTGAAAACTCATTAAAAAGTTGTAAAAATAAAACATTTCCTCCCTGCCAAAGAAGCCACTCAAAAGCTCATCAGTTTGGCTTCCAACTCCATGCTTTCGATTCATAAATTCGAGTCTATAAAAATGTGAGTAAGAACATTTCAATAACTTAAACAACAATATCAGTCAATTTATTTTTTTCCATGGAAATACAAGTTTAAAACTCACTGCTGTGTTTTAAATGAAATGTTATTAAAAGGCTTTCTTTTATTTTTAAAACTAGTTTCGAGGAATAACAAACTTGTAGTTTTTGTTTGACTGTTTAGTTGTATATCGCTCTTGAAAATTTAAATAATAAAAATAAAAATAGAATATTAAAGAATGCCAATCCTAAAAAGTTTTTTAGAAACAAGAATATTTGGTTGGATTTTCTGGCAGGTTTACAGTTCTACAATTTTATGATTATCCATGTACCATGTCATTTTCCGTCTCATTTATTTTATTTTCCTTTAGCAAATATTGTGTGATCAGGAATTTTGGGGAGCAGAGACTTAGAGGCAGCCATGTCCACTCGAATGACGGTCCACAGGGCCGGAAAGAAGACCCTATCGGCCACGCAGGAAGCGGAAATAAATGCATCCGACATGGCCGCAGGATCGGATAGCGATAGCGAGACGAGCCTGCTCGAAATGCAAAGGAATACACTGCCGGAAGATGCGAATATCCTGCGCATTGCGGTCATGGCAGATCCAGTGGGTTAATACTTCCAAACTAGATTCTCAATTGATTTTAAATCTGTTTAATACTAGGAGGTAACCCTCGGTTTTCTACTGGCTGGCGTGGGCTATCAAAAGGACAGGTTCCGCAACTATATGATGGTGGAAAGCGGTGGGTGACTAAAGCAATCCAATCTTGTTTACTAAGGAACTAACTAAATCGAGCTTGCAGAAACCTTGCAGGAGGACATTGAGCAGTTCTTTCTCATGGTCTACAGGAAGCCCAACATCGGCATGATCATCATCGATTACGACACGGTCCTGCGACTCAAGCCTATTTTGCAGCGCTGCCATCAACTGCTCCCCATCCTGATCACCGTGCCCAACAAATCCTCGCTGACCGCCTATCTCGACAAAAAGGAACGCAGTCGGCGACTTCGCCAGCGGGACGCCTACTAGGATATGGCAGAATCTAAATTTAAGAGGTATTTCCACCTTAATAAAGTCTCTTATACAATATACACAAATATCTTTTTGTGGAGTTGGGAAACTTCAGGAAGAGATATTTAAGAAATTATATGTGACATTGCAAAAATTAGCATTAAAACATTTGATTGCATTTAGAGAACACCCTGTATTCTTTGGTCCATTCGTAGAAAGAAATCATTTCAAATCATATTTTTATAACAAAAATATTTACTAACAGTAGCAGTAATAAGCACATAAAAATATAATCCTAAAAATAATAATTATTAATTTAATCCAAAAGTCACTTTTTCCTTAATTAAAACTATTCCCTGATTTAAAACAATGTTTTTAATTTTGGATAATATTATATTTAAACAAGAAAGGAAAGCTAACTTCGGGCGGAGCCGAAGTTGATATACCCTTGCAGAATACTCTGTAAATTATATACTCCAAAATTATTCATATGATGCATTCTTAATACTCATCAAAAATCCCAACTTCCTAACTTTAAAAACACCAAAGTTATGGCATTTCCAATCGTTCAGTTATATGGCAGCTATAGAATATAGTCGGCCGATCCTTATGAAATTTAATAGGTTGGATTGATTGGCTAAAAATAAAACCCATAGAAAATCCCAACTTCCTAACTTAACAAACACCAAAGTTATGGCATTTCCGATCGTTCAGTTATATGGCAGCTATAAGATATAGTCGGCCGATTCTCATGAAATTCGGTAGGTCAGATTGATTGGCCAAATATAAAACCTATAGAAAATCTCAACTTCCTAACTTTACAAACACCAAAGTTATGGCATTAACGATCGTTCAGTTATATGACAGCTATAGGATATAGTCGTCCGATCCCGGCCGTTCCGACTTATATACTGCGTGCAAAGGAAAGAAGGGTGTGTGCAAAGTTTCAATTCGATATCTTTAAAACTGAGAGACTAGTTCGCGTAGAAACAGACAGACGGACAGACAGACGGACAGACGGACATGGCTATATCAACTCAGGAGGTGATCCTGATCAAGAATATATATACTTTATAGGGTCGGAGATGTCTCCTTCACTGCGTTGCACACTTTTGACCAAAATTATAATACCCTCTGCAAGGGTATAAAAACTCCTATAGGACGAACTTAAAAAAAGCAGAGAAAATTGGTTCTAGTCTTCCAATAGTAAATATAAAGTAATAAAAATGAATGTCAATAATGAAATAATAAAATAAAATCGGATAACAAATGGCATTGAAATATAACTCTTTTAGACTGTGTGTGTTTATTAAGGCGCTTGAATTGAAAATAAATTCTATGCACAGGAATTTAGTTTAAGTATTTCTAGAAACTCAACACTCACATTACCCATTCACATTTATTCACCGAAACAAATGCCGAGATAGTTTCAATTTGGCTGTGGCCAAAAGCAAACAAAACCAGCAATCCGACAATCGCAATTTTATGTGGCGCTTGGATTGCCCCTTTGTTGCGATTTCAGTTTCAGTTGCTCTAGCAAATTAATTACAATTACCTTTGCCTCCGTTCGATTGCACTTGGCGAATGTTTTTGACATGGCCGCAAAGCATTTTCAATGCGAATGCTTTTTTGGTTTTTGGGCTCTATTTTCCCCGGCTCGACTTTCCTTCAAAACTTTATTTGTATGTTTGTGTGTGTGGGGGTGTGTGTGTGTGGGGGGGTGTGTGTGGGGGTGTGTGTGTGGGGAAAGGCCTGTCAATGGCAGTGTGGGAAAAGTTGGAGCCACACTACTTGACTTGCCCCCCTTACAAGTTCGAAGCAAATTGAAACAGACGAACGAGTGGGGCATTTCCGAGGGACTCCCGATTCCAGGACTTCCGATTCCAGGACCTCCGGGTCGTCCTTCATGTGATGGGAAATGGCCTCACCTGTCCCGCACAGACAGGAAATATGGCTCCGGGTCGGGACATCTTGGTCCGGAGTCAATCGCCATGGACGATTTGCTTTCGGGGGCCCTTTAATTGAATCGTTGCGCAGTCAAGCAGCCGGAAACTGAAATCCGTTTCCGTAATTGATTCGCATATATTTACGTCCGCTTGTGGCAAAAAATAAATATGAGGCAAATCACGTATCGGCAAAGGGCAGCCAAACTGTCAGCAATTAATTTGGTTAGTCGCGGCGCCAAAGTGAATTAGCGCCAAATCTTTGGGGAGTAGGACAACTGTCAGAGATTTTGGCCTCCTATTTATCCCCAAATCCTAATGTCTGTCATTCGCTTTGATTTCATCGGCGTGAGAAAATCAAAGCGCTCTTTGAGGCCTCTTCACAAAAAAAAAAAAAAAAAAGGGGAGCAAAACTGGGGGGAAAACACGCTAGGTTTATTTAGACTTATCAGACATTTCCGCGAAATTCACATACATAACATCAAGAGAGAAAAATTCCTTTGAACCAATTCCAAGAATTCAAGAAAGCCTTTTGTGGTTCAATTTCATAGCTATTTTCACCAAGCTTAAAAATAAACTAATAAACTTAGACTCACATGATTTTTTGATTGGGAAAACTTAAATGTTTCATTTAAAATGGTTAAAAATAAATAATTTTTACATTAGGAGTTAAATGAAATAATTTAATTTACTCTACCGAAATATGTGAGCTATCTATTAACTACAAAATTTATATTGATTTGCTTTCCTGAAACTGTAGAATATTAATATTTCTTGAAGTTCAATGAAAACAAGCCCATAAGATATTTGAAAATTTTTACCTTCAAATACAACTCCTTGGAATGAAAGTTCTGATGCCTTACTATTAGCAACTTATATTAAAGATGTTTAAGAATTTCAACTCCTCTATTTACTTTTCATTTTCAAGCTTTCGGACTTTTTTCACAGTGTAGGTTTATCCGCGGCTCCAGGGCAGGTGCTCAAGATGGATCTGGATGAGGGGCTGAAGAGCCGAGGGTACGCGTAAATTTAATTACACTTATGCTCATGGGCGAAGTTTGCTTGGCAGTCAACTCATGTCCCGATTTGGCAAAGTTTCCACCTCAAAGCGGCCCCGAGGGACAGCTCCTGCCAGAGTTGGGACTTTATTAAAAAGAAAAAAAAACAGATTTCCGTCGATGCAAAGCCAAAAAGTACTAACTTATAATGTACTATATAGAAATATGAATCGATCTGCCAGCTGCATTCCTTGCAAAAGCTGCCTTTTTACTTGCATTTCCATTTCTAATTGGCAGACCTTTTGCATTGCCGTATTTCCCTGCTCTTCTCTTTATACTTAAATATTATATTTTTTTTCGCCTGTGTAGAAAGGTTTTCCCGTAGGCAATGCTCAGATAATGCTGCACAAAGCTTCAACTTCAATTTCGACCAACAAAAGACTCGGTCGGGCAAACAAAGCATCGTCAAAAAAGATGGGTGGGAAGGGGGAGGAGGGGGGAGGGGGAAAGGGAGGTTACAGGTGGGGGGTGTTCAGTTCGAGAGCAAAGAATTACAGCCTTGAAATGTATATTCCAGCCAGCATTTCCCTTTGCCCAGTCATATTCCATATTTATTTTGTATTTTTTTTTTTTCGTTTTTCGTTGCATCAGAGAGTAATAATTTGATTTTTGAACGTTCCGTTAGTAGTTCACTGTACAGTGAGGCCATTGTGTTTTGTGTGTGCGGGCCATAACTACATTGAATTTAATATACTCGGCTGTATGAAAGTTGAATTGCGTATACGCCCGGGTATCAGGGCAAAATGTAAAGACGCAAATCCGGCGTAACGAAAGGGGGAATTTGAAGGAATCGGTGGGGGGGGGGTAAACCGGGAAAATGGAAAAATGTGTGCGTGTGGGTGGTTACACCATCACCAATTTTTCGGGGTTGCTCATCAGCTTTGGGCTTAGGGCCTTAGTCAAGGCTCAAACTCGCAGCCTCACGAGTTTTCCCTGGAAATTGAAATACCCACCCACACCACACAGCACACACAACACACACACACTCGCACCCACACAAGGCCATTGATACGAATGCGACTTAAGTGGCTGGTATTGTTTTTACATTAAAATATCATTAATTTTCATGCCTGCCTGCCTGTTTGCTGTGGCTCCATTTTCGCTCCCAGTTTCCCCCCCCCACCCCGGCCCCTTCAATTGGCACCCCCCCGCGTCATAAGTGTGTGTATAGAGCCATTAACACGAGGCGTGAAATGAGCGCATATGTATGCATGACGGAGCAGGACATGCGGTTCCACCCCTCACACGAACTCCTTTCGAAGGAGGTGTCAGGATATGGGCGAAAACGACAAAAACGGAGGTAATCTTGAGAAGGTTTCATTGAAATGCCGCCTAACAGAAAATGCAATTGAATTTAATGGCTTCCAAAAGTTGTAGAATATTTTCTGCTTTCTAATACTCAACTTGTGGAAAGAACTATAAACTAAACTATATAAAAAAAAATAAAAATCTTTTAAAAAGTATATTAAATCAGCAATTCCACAATTTAATATTTTGAACAGTTCTTACAGAATTTCTGTGTATTTTATTTGTATTAGAAGTATTCTAAAACCTTCCAGAAAAATATAAATTTTTATAAAAAATAAAAAAAAAAACTATAAACTAAACTTTTAAAAATCTTTTAAAAAGTATATTATATTAGCCATTCCACCATTTAATATTTTGAACACTTCTTACAGAATTTCTCTGTATTTTATTTACATTGAAAGTATTCTAAAACCTTCCACAAAAATATAAGTTTATAGAAATTTAAAATAAATAAGAAAATTATTCATATAGTACATTTATTATAAAAGAGGAACCTCAAAACTGGTTAAGAATTCCCAAAGGTATTTATTCTAAAGCGGTTTCTATGGCACTCGGTATCAATTCAGCTTTCTGCAATTTTATTAAATATATTTCGCCTTTAAGTGACACACATATACGTTGCTGGCCGAAAAAGCGATTCCAGTCGGTTTCTAATGGAGCTGACCGGATAACGTGTCCTGGTCCAGTGGCCATTTCAAGTCAGTGCAAAACACAGGCACACGAAACACAAAAAATGGTGACACCGAGAGCCTTTAAATGCCAC